AGCGTAGGGAGGAACGGAGTGCTTCCCCAAGTATTTGACCAGTTTTTCGAGACCTCCTACGGGAACGTAGAAAATCAGCCGAGCGAGCACCCGGTGGACAGAGCAGCCAGCAAGGCGCCTCCACCCGCGGAAAGAGGCAGCGACAGTTGTCGGGGAGCAGATGAGACGGAGCGCTGTGAAGAGACGAGCAGCCCAGAGCCATCTTCCGGTAACAACGAAGAGAAATTCAGCGGCAGCAGTAGTACGTATTAAAGCAGTTGTGTGAGAACGTTTCTGATGTAACGTGCTGTTGTTAAAGGTTTTATAAGCTGTTTTATAAGCATATAAGGTTTATAGAGGGCCCTGTATATTTACCCTAACAAAACTTTGTTATAAACGCAAGATCACGTGCTCGAAATTGAAATTGGCCGTGAATGATAGGCCATTTCCCTTTGAGTCTTCAAAAGTGTGCATTCCAGCCTTCATTACAGTTTGGACTTTTTGTTAATGCAGAGTTATTTGAGATAATTGAAATCCTTAGCTTGTTTATCGCCTCTGAATGCATGTTGTACAACAGGGAATTTAAAGAGCATTTTTCTTAGGGATTGATATGGAGTTTCTGATAAATATCAACTGATACATCTTTTCAGTTTTTCTTATGTGGCTATTTTTTTTTTCTTTTGTGGTGAATGAAAAGTTATGCATATGAAATATTAGTCTCCATTATAAGCTATTCATTATCAAACGACCCTGGACGAGTGTGTTGTTGCAAAACTTGATATTTCATTAATTTAAGGGCTAATTGTATAATGTGTTATTACTGATTTATCGTTTAATTAATTAATTACATTTAGATAACAGCAACAGTTTATGCACAATTTTGGAAACGGCAATCGGGTGTATTAAGTTGTCTCTGCTGTATTAATTGAATGAGATTGTATATGATTTCTATGCAATTATATACAGTTAAATGTCAAATATATTTAAAGTCTTCTTTAAATTTCAGATGGACAGAAAACACGGAAAAAGAGGTGTCCTTACACAAAATATCAGATCAGAGAGCTGGAGAGAGAATTTTTCTTCAGTGTTTATATCAACAAAGAAAAAAGGCTACAGCTTTCCAGAATGCTCAACCTCACCGACCGTCAGGTCAAAATATGGTTTCAAAACAGAAGAATGAAAGAAAAAAAAATAAACAGAGACCGTTTGCAGTATTACACCACGAACCCTTTGCTTTAGATTGCCCATTGCTGAGAAATCATTTAGGCGAGATGGTTCATTTCAAGTTGGATGCACATTCCGGTTCCCAGAGGCTGCTGCGAGACGATATGTGACCTTCATTCCTCTGAGAGACTTTTTCATCGTGTAAACATACATTTATATTATCAGTAATCTCTACCGTTTTGAATTAAAATTATTGTTATTATTATTATTATTATTATTATTATTACTTGTATTGTCATTTGTTATTATTATTTTTCCATTCTACACAGACTATTCAGTTTACAGGGATTTTATTTTTGTTATTACTATTATCTGACCAAGATCTGTACTTTTCGCATATGTCATATAGCAGTGGCTATATTCTTGAAATCTATTTTGGTGGAAAAAATGTTGGGGAGGGCGAGATATAAATACCAGTGGAAAAGAAGGTGGTTAATAATCTGTTAAATACAGTTCCTTAATTGTGGTTTATATGATTAGACTTTGTTTCATTGAATAACGCACATTTCTTGAATATAGCCTAAGCTTATTGAGAACTAAATGCATCACGCGCGCTATATTCTCTGATACTTGAATTGTGTGGACTTAAAGTGTATATTTGATAGTAGGTGTCTTTACTGCGCATTAGTAAAATCGGGTGACTTAACAAGTGTGTTCAGAAATATCCCCCCCAAAAAAGAGAGAGAAATTTGTATTTATTTTTAACGGGACATTAAGGCAAAAGCAATAACAGCATGGACACTGCTTGAGTCCTCTGAAACCCCGAACCTGAATTGTATTTTCTTTTAGATTTCTGTGTTTCTCCCCCTTTTCTCTAAACCGCGTGAAACTATATATCGAGCTCATTCATGTTCATGATAATCTCTCATGTTTATAACATCTCCTCAGTGTTATATAAATCAGCCTCTTGAAATATCTTGTGCTTTCTCTCCTTTTCCTGGAGCAGGATCAAATGTTTGATGGATCTTGAGTTATATTGCCTCCACGCTTTTCTTTGATTCAAGGATCAAGTGTTTGCCGTTATTAATGCCTATAGTATCCATTACGGAACTGCCCAAAACATGGCTGTGTACGTCTCCATGAATCAAATGGTCTTTCAACAAATGGTTTTATGTCGACCTTTCAGATAAGTCTTTATATTATATTGCTATTTTGAAGTGGCATGTAACATCTATACAACATTTCTTGAGAATTAAACTCTTTTTTCTTGTTGTTTTTCTTGAACATGGAAAAAAAAGACTCTTGTTACTTCATATAATTTTACAGTTCCCCTGTATCAATATATCGATGATCCACTGCGAGAGGATCAGAAATTGATATGGCTTATGCCACTCAGAAGTCTTATAAAATGGCGACCATAAGATAATAACGACTGTTTTACGTGATGACCCTGACGGTTTGCGCATCCTTTGAGGCTCGATGGAATTTCGCCCTAATTACTGCACTTCCCCCCGTTGCTGCAGCAACTCGGTCATAAAACCCGTCTTAGTCTGGAGCATTTGTAGAATTGGAGTGAGGTGCCATAAACCGTCTGAGAACCAAGGTTATTAACTGTGACTAAGAGCTAGAAAACAACGGCTGGAACCATTGAAAGCTTGTGTTCACGGACTTTTCCGCCATCATTTGTCTCAGTGTCCCATCATGGCACCACGACTGGATTGCTCACTATTTTGCTCCTCCAACGATACATTTCTTGTCCACTGGGTGACGCACTTTAGATCAATGTCATTGCCGGGTATCTAAAATCCATGCTGCACCATGTTTACTTTGTGTACGGGCAAAGGACAACGTCTTCGTGAACTACACAAGGCACTGTTTCAGGTAAATAGCCAAGTTACCATTCAGAAATTTTAGTCAGCATTGCATTTATTTATTATATTTTTTTAGATGATAGCAGCATATTAATGCTCAAAACGTAGCCTGCAAGTAAAGTTTGTTTAATGATAAAAACCTCTTAATTTAAAAAGTATTACCACTTGTAACATTTTTATTAGTCTCAGAGTATTTGCTAGTTCCTGACAAATTGACCAGAGATTCATTTTAAAGAGATTTAAAAAAAATTAATTGTAGGAAAATGGGAGACAGCATGTTTTGATTCTTGATGGCTTTGTCTATAAGTTACAGTTTTACAGTTATGCATTTTTGTATTATTCTAAAATGTTTTCTACGCCATATAAAAATCTAAAAAGTCTTCTGCAAATTGTTGTGATATGTCAAATGAAAAATCTAATTATAAAATGAATGGTATTTATTGGCTCATTAAAATGTATTTACTTTTAAAACAATAGCTAGCCCTAACCCGTCCTAAGCCCTTTTGATTTCTTAATGCAGAAAGTACAAATAAATGTATTCCAATTATTAAAACTCATCTGTCAAGCCGAAAAGATAAACGTTCAAATAATAATACATTTTCAATAACTGCCCGTTTTTCTTTTAACATATACATTTCAGCTTGTGTGATAAAAGCTCGTCTTTTATGGTGACATTAGTAAAAGCTTCCACTAGACAGTGTGAATCAAAACATGATTATTGGAGCAAGGACAACTTGACTAGTAAAAAAATTAGGTTATGGCTACTTTGGTAGCCTTTTTTTTCTAGACCCGAGTCATCTAATTACTCTAGTTGTGCTATTTGGTCGATATTTAAAATTGCATGCTAATGCTCATATGCATTTGTTATTTTTATCATAAATATGCTAATTCCAGCTATAGGACGATTAATCCTATACGAACAATGGAACAGGCCTATTTGTGGATATATTCTGTGAAGTATTTTTGACAGCGTAAAAACCGTTTCAAGGAAAGTTCAGAGGTAGAGCAATAAATGACCATTTAACACATCACATTAAGCCACATAGGCTGAAAAAAAAAAACGAAAGAAAAAAACTCAAACCTGAGAGAGAAATTTGGAATTATATTTCATGTAATTAAATGCAAATCAAATGACAAAAATATACAACGGCGGTCTCGACATCACACAGGCTGATTTTGAGATAAATTATAATATCTCCTGAACGCCAAAGGCAGGCATAGGTAAATTTAATCACATACAACAATTGTGTTAAAATTGCTATTGTTAAATAATTTTAATGTTATGAGACCGTGGTTAGATTTATCTATATTTTTAAATATAATAGTTTTTAATTGATTTTTTACTATTAACCCGTAACTGAACGTTGTAATTATAAAGCTTATATAGGCCTATATGTAACTTTAAGTTTATCACATCTTTATTTTACAGAATGGAAATCAATATCCACCCCATAATGTGTTTCTGAAAAGCAGATTGAAAGCCGCCTCTCGTTTTGGACTTGAGTGTAGCAAATAAATAGTTTTGACCCACCGCATGCATGAAAACCAGAAGATCAGTCTGTAACTCACTGTTTATGTGCTTAAAGGGCTGTTGGGGCAATTACAGTGTATCATAAAGGTTTACTATTTTAGCACTTGATCTCCTTTTCTATACCTTGTTGCTTTTTGGTTTTATTTAGGCTACATGGCTCAAAAGGCTTTGCGGCTAATCGGCAATGTCAGCATTAACAAAGTCAGTGGTCGTAAATATAATGCTGTTCCCGTTAAATTCTGGTTTTATTCGTTTATATTTTCAGAAATGACTGATCGGGTTTATGTAGATTTGACTTTAAAAAAAATGTAGTTGCTTGAAAAAGATGTGGGACACAAGGGTTACGTGCACACAGAGGGAGGAGTCACCGGTGCTCGTTGCAATTTAATTGGCTGTTAGCTCACACTGAGTTGTATAGTTATCAGTAATTATATTCAGCATGTTTTGCACAAGAAATGTCATCCAGAAAGGGCAATCTTCTTCCACCGTCATATTATACCACAAAGATGTCATGCTCCGATAGTCCATCTGGAAATTCGTTTCTGGTAGACTCCTTGATCCACGGAAGGGCCGAGGGAAGTGGACACTATTACCAAAACAGCGGAGTCTACTTGCAGCCGACCTCCGAGTATTCTTATGGACTGTCTAACTGTGGCTATTTTTCTGGACTCAAACGGAACGAGAGCAATTCGCAAAATGTAGTCCCTACGTGTGGGCCATATCAAGGCATGGAAACATGGCTGGAGACGTCGAGGTCCTGTCGCACTGAACAGCCTAACAACCAAATTACCCCACGGTCGTTCTCGCCCACCATAAAAGAGGAAAACTCTTACTGCTTATACGAGTCTGAGAAGTGTCCAAAAGACACCATTACAGAGGACATATCGTACTCCCGGCTGACACCAAACTCGTGTCCATCTAGCAACAATAACGGCTGTGTTCCGGTACCTGGTTACTTCCGTCTATCTCAGACATGCACCACATCTGAAGGTTTTCCAGACAACCAGTCTGTACCGACTCATGCTGCTGCTCAACGCTCTACCCGATTTGACAGCTCTCTTTCAGCCATAGGAGCAGAAGCGAGCAGGGAAGAGAGCGACGAGCCTCCCACATGCGCACCATGTGCCCCGGCAAGAAACAAGGAGCTAAGGGGGTCCACTGGCACCGCTTCATCTCCAGAACCACCGGACAGTCCGGAGAAGGCGGTCACTGTTACTAAAGGTTAGTTTTGTTGTTGCCCCATCCAAAGGATTCGGACGTCCTTAGGGCGCGTAAAAACATTAACGCCTTTGCGCGCGCGATAAATACATGGAATTGTTATACTACTGCATGTAGTATTAAAGAAATATTTCGGATTTTATTTTAAACACCTCATAAGGCTTTAGCTTGGCCAGATTTGGCAGCACAATCATATGCGAGTAATTAAAAAAAATATACATTTTTGAGGAGGTCCAGCACGCCCAAACCAATTTAGCTAAAGCCCTGATGTCTGTAGTCCTCTCTGTAATCCTTTACACATAACACAGCATTCCTTCGTGCCAAATGCAATGTGCACTGGCCATTTTTCGTTTGTAAATCTCACGTTTTAATAATAGCAAAAAGACTATTTAAAACATATTGTTCGCAAGATCTCATTTAACAAATATCTTTTCAAAACTCTATGCAAACCTTCACATAGCAAAACATTAATTTGCGTCAAACGCAGTGCTGACAGATATAACGTGTGCTTTAGTTTCCCAAACATTTTTAAGTGATCACATTAAAATCGTAAAGCAAACAGGGCCTATTGCTCACGACCCTGCTATCCCCATTTTGTGTATGTCTTTCTATATATATGTAAGTATTTAGCAAGCCTATTTTTCAGCTGTTTATGACCTCTTGGAAATGTAATCACATGATTTGGTTTATAAAATGTTCATTTTCTTGCATAGACGGAGAGCTTGTTTAGTTGCAATGCCTATAAACTAAAAATATTATTTTGCTCTTCTTACAAGAAACGACAGATAAAGCGTCGCCAGTGCCTTTTTAAGGCTTTTGTTTTAACAAACAAAAATGGAATAATCAGAAAATAGACAAAAACTGAATTAATTAATCGCAACTCAATTCATAATATTAATATGGCTACACACGATAGTATCAGGTCATTTAATATTTTAAATTAAATGTTTATGTGAGAATGTATTTATGTGAATACTAATATTGTTGAACAGCAAGTGGAATTATTGTATGGATATTACAGGTTGTTAATAGCATTATTCATTTTGTAATTAAATAACATTCATTAGGCGTATATGGTCATTGCATCCCATAGTAAATTGTTGTGAAATGGGGGCTTGCAGCTGGACATTTTGGACTAATATTGTCTCAAATTTTCAGCAGGAGATTCCAAAAGTGACAATACAGTTAACTGGCTGACGGCGAAGAGTGGTCGTAAGAAGCGTTGCCCCTACACCAAACATCAGACTCTAGAGCTAGAGAAAGAGTTCCTCTTCAACATGTACTTGACACGAGAGCGTCGCCTCGAGATCAGCCACAGCGTTCACCTCACGGACAGACAAGTCAAAATCTGGTTTCAGAACCGACGGATGAAGCTGAAGAAGATGAGTCGAGAAAACCGAATCCGAGAGTTGTCGGCCAACTTCAGTTTTTCATGAAGCCTCCTCGCTTTATAGATCTCTGGCGCCCTCCTTCATCAGCTGCAGTGGTAGCCTACTTCAACCCTACAACAAACCGTCTCCGTAGGTGTGTGTGCATAGATGACTTGTGCAAGATACTATTGATAACTTATTGTGTGTCGTATACTGTTGACGTTTTTATCCGTTTATGTATAATTTTATTTGACAACTCAGTCGTCATAAGATGTCATGGTTATTTATAAACTGTCAAGAGTACTTCACTGTAAAAGCAAGAGAGGAAAATATAAGAATGCTGAAGGTGTTAATTGTACATAGCATTCAGACTATATTGTACATTTACTGTATATAACTGCGGTATTTGCATGTTGTAATAATAACTATTATGAAACCATTTTTAAATAATAACAATACGTTTCTTCCTAAGTACGACCTTGTCATGTATTTGCTGGAAGAAGTCCGGTTCTTAAAATGTAGAAACTTATAAACATGACGGGACTTCCTGTATTATTTTAACAGCAATCAAAGGTACCATCTTTTTTGGAAACAGAGGCCAAAGAGATGGTCTCAGATGTAAATTAATTATTACATGGAAGAAAATAAATAAAGGCATGTACGTAAAAGTCATCTTACTTTTAAATACAATTATTGTAGTACAAAACACTCCTGTTTTTCTGAGCTTTCTTTATAACGGGGATTTTGGAGAAGCAATAACTTTGCTGACTGTAAAATGACATGATTTATATAATTCTCAACACAGTCTGTACTGGTCCCGTGAAGAGTCATACAGAAATTATTAATACAATCATTCCTATTACAGTCTATTCCTGTCAACATTCGGGTTCTATTTCTAATTTAATCTAATTTTCATTTAAGGGAGTATTCCATGAAAAGTCAACAATTTTTATGAGACAGCATTGGTAAGATCACAGCAATGTGGGCAAAAAAAATTATTGTAAGCCTACTTGTTTGCTTCTGCAGAAAATAAATAGATACAAATACAGCGTTGCCTTCTTATACCTTCGCAAGCAAGAAACAAAGACAACTGCTAAGTGATTTAGGTAGTTTCATGTTGTTGGGCTCTATTTTACATCCCCACGACACGAAACTGTCTTAATTGCCTCGCAGTGAGAATCAGCACAACAACAAGACAAACATGTTGCGGCGAATTCTGAAAAGTGTTTACAGAAGTATATTTTATCTTGAAGAAAGACCAGCAATTCTCAGCAACATATCATATTTTAATGACATAATTTTAATGCACGAACTGCACTAGTGAGGTGAATTCTTTAGAGTTGTATAAAAAGTAAATGTTGGAGTGCAGGTGTAGATAGCAAGGCCTCGGTTACGATCAATGCACTTTGGCCAAAGCCGCGTGCGCATCTGAGAGCACGCCCACATTGCCGGATGCGTCTGCTGGGCCGGAGGGAAAAAACACAAAGGCTTTATTGGCCATATTCAGGCCAGACAGCCAAGTTACAACCTGAAGAAAAACAGAGTAATAGCCCCTGTTATAAACAAAGTCTGTTGAAGAGCCCAGAGATCCACTCTTCCGAGGACAAGATCACAGCAATGCTCATTGACCAGAGGGAGAAAAAGCTCTGGTCGTCCATGGTTGTCCTCTATTGTCAGTGTTTTCATGGCTAAGACTAAAAAAAAATGTCAGGATTAAATTTATAATTTATTTTCTATTAAAACAACACCGTATATACTCATACTTAATGTTACAATTACGTTGCTGATTTCCAAATACCATGCAAGCTAGTGTTGAGATTCTGAATAACATAATGCCGTACAACCAGATGCTACGTTTATGCTTAAGTCTAACCACTGCAAATATACAAATGTATTTACGAACACACATTTTTAATTATGAAGCATACAGTCGCTATTTCACTGAAAGTGTGGGATATTGCAAAAACAAAGTTTTTTTGTCCTGTATTAGCTTATTCAAGAATACTAGAACAATTGAATATCATAATAACACTGTGATTGTCACACACTGCGATAAAAATCTTGTTTTTAATCTTTTTTAATTAAAATTTTTTGTAGTGTTGATCAAACATATTTACAATTGTATTAATTCGTTTCACTGTTTTAATCTTTGCGGTTTTAAGATTTTGTTTTGAGGCGTAAAGCTTAATTTTAAACATAAAACAAACGGTCTATTTTGTACAAGTATCTGAGTCCGGTAAAGCTTTAGCATTCCCC